ACATCTGTCAGACTTTGAAAGCCACACTTACCCAGAAAGACTGGTGAGCTGGTAGACTTCCAAAGCCACACTTACCCAGAAGAAATGAGAGTTACTATGAGAGTCTGGCCCAGGGCCTTGTAGACATGACAGCTGAGTGTTGGTATTGTTGAAGAACGGTGCACTTGGTGGGCTTCAGCCCACACAGACTTGAGTCAGATGGACTTGGGTGGAAATGCTGTTGAGTGGAATGATACAGACCAGTGGTTCTGGGGCTTCATTGTGCATCACAGTCCCCGCCAGGCTCGTGGAAACGGATCACTGTGCCGCCCCACCCACCTCCCCGGAGTTTCTGTTTTAATGAGTCTGGGTTGGAGCCCAACCAGTTACATTCCAGCAAGTTCTCAGGTGATGCTGATGCTGCTGTTCAGAGAGCACTGCTCAAGAAGCCTCATGGACCACACACAGCAGAGACCCAGAGAAAGGGGAGACAGCTGAGAGACGTGGGAAATCAGAGGGGATGTCACCCAGCACCAGGACTGATGCTGGGTGTGAAGGGTTTGCAGGATGTGGAGAAGGGGTAAGGAAGGAAAAGGGAGTTGGGCTGTGGAGGAAACATGAGAGTGTCCCAGGCAACTGGAGGAGAGCAGGGACTTGCCGGAGGAAGGCATGAAAGTAACAGGTGGATGACGACTGGCTGGCAGCTGCCTACCTTTCCCAGTTTTGCTTTGAAGGAGTAAAGGTGGGAAGAATAGGGGCCTACAGAGGTCCATAGCCCTGCGGCTCAGACATGGGATAGTTTTGGCCAAAGAACCACCTTGGACCTTACATGAATCTGCCGAATCTCTCCACAATGGACTATTTTCTCTTCCAGCTCTCCCTCATCCTTGTGTCCACACCTCTTTCATCACAAGGCACAATCCTTTGCACAGCCTCAGTCATGCTTAATAAGTAAATTGCCTTATACAGATTTGAATTGCTTCAATTGAATAATACTTATAATTGACCAGATGTTCCTAAAACAGTTTGCCATTTCATATGACTTGACATTCACATTAGGAAAACAAAGACTCTGCTTTCTTTTATTGTGCATTGTGATTCTCTTAGCACAATCTAATTGCAAGTTCGCAGCTGTTCACTGTTTGCAAAATCATATTAAGGCCATCCTGTGTGTAGGGAAGGTCCATGATGGGTTTAGACAATATAGACCTTTTTTTTTTTTTTTTCTGTGAAATACATCCTGTTGTTGTCACCATTTGAATCACGATTTTGAGCACAACTGAGAGACTGTGTATTCTGTTGGGGAAAGAATAGTGATGTGATTCCTGGAAATGGTGATGTGACCTGCTTCAAATCCAGCTCACAGGGCTGGTGGGGGAAGTGGGAGGTGAGGGCCACGGGATGACCTGTGCCCAGGGCAGGGGAAGCCACTGGGGGCCAAATAGAAATCATGGTCCAGGCAGAAAGGAAATCAGACAGATGGAGCCCTGTACGCCGTGCCGGGGGGGTCACAACAGAGAGGCTGTAAACAGGAAAAGGAGCCCAGATCTGAAGCTGGAAGGAAAGAGAATTGTCTTGGGACCAAGCATGATGGGGCAGGGCAGAGGTCCAGGACAGAGGCTGTAACTGGCTTGTGGGACAGGGAACTGTTGACACAGGGTGGAGTCGGGGATTCAGGGCTCCTCTGTGGAGCGGTTAAGCTCTGCCCTTGGGGAAGGCGTTCTCGGTGATGTCCAGGCTGGGAGCATACTGCATGGCTGACAATAAGGGAGGAGGCTTTAGGAGGTTTTGAGGTTTGATTCTTCTAAACATTTTCTCCATTGGATTGAACTTCCTAAATGACTAATTTTACCATATGATATCTCTGCCCAACAACTTGTTTTATCCATTTCGTCTATGTAGGTTAAAGTCTAAGCTTGTTAACCTGACCTATTGTAATGACTTCCACTTACCAAGCTCCTAGTATCTCCCAGGAACTTGTAAATATATTACTTCTCACTCATTCTTCCAAAGTCTACATGGGCGGTGATGGTTATATAGGCTTTACCGAGGGAAAAAACAAAACAAAACAAAAACAAGAATTAAGTTCATAGAAGTTAAATTTAAGTTATGTAATTTCTTCAACGTCACATAACCAAGTGGCCATAAAAAAAAAAAAAAGGGAATTTGAAGCCAGGTCTGCTTGATTGCAAAGCGTGAACCCTGTATCCTACAACCTCCCCAACAGCCTGACAGAACTCGTACCCTGTGCTTTTTCAACATTGTCAAAAACAAGCTCTCCCCAAATCTCCAGGCCAGAGGAGCCAATTGCCAGCCACTGTCCCCTTGAAACTTTTCCAGCCCTGACAGATTTCTGCCACCTGCCCCAAGCCTCAGTGCCTGGGGTTAAGGTTTGTCGTCCAATTTAAGGCCAGCTGACATTTTAAAATATAATTATCACGTTGTCCAGTGAACTTTAAGAGATATTACTTAAAAAATTTATTAAGTATTAAAACAGAAAAAAAGATACAGAGAAATAAAAAGAAAAATGTCGTGGCCCGTCAGCTTAGGACCCAGAAAAACCCATGAGAGTTTTAAAATGATGGCAATCATAAGCGTAAGCATAGTCATAAAATTCAAGGTGTAGAGAAATGATCCAAATGAAAATGACCTTGGGGAGGACGGCTTGATGTCTGTACCCCCTGCAGCCGCAGAGAGCTGTGTGACGCTTCCAATTATCTCACTCCTCAGGACCCACCAGCTTGAGGTCAAATCATGATGCCTGTTTAAACTATCTTGGAAGTGCTCGCCAGTCCAGAGGAATTTGTGCCAAAGAGTCCTTTTGTAACGAGGGAGACACATGTGTTTTAGACTGAGTGACTCACAGGCATCAACTGCCCTTGGAAGAGACCCCTCCGACTGCAGCCCACTCCTGCCCCAGACGCCGAAGGCCTGCGAAGATTCCCAGTGCAGATCCCGGGTGGCCTTCAGTCACCCCCTCAGTTGCTTGAGCTCTGATAGTCAGGGTGTCCTCCCCGGATCTGGCTCATTTCCGCCTCTCATGTCCTTCCTCCTGTCTCACTGGGTCCCATCTGCTGGGTGAGCTTTCAGGGCCCTGCAGGTGCTTCCTTCTGGGCCAGACGTGTCTTCTCCTCCTGGTAGAATTCTCCCTCCATATAGAATTCACCAGATGGGTGAATTCTCCCTTCTCCTTCCATGTAGAATTCACCAGGTGGGTTTTCCTAATGAAATATTCGCTCAGTGACACCCAGTGAGGTGTGAGTCACAAAACTTGAGACAGAGATGATAAATTTTTTTTTGTTTTAAGTTAGGACAGCTCCTTGACCCTGGGAATAAGCTCCTCGAATGACAGTAAGTCCCACACCTCCCTGCGGCGTGCAGCGGCATCTTCACATTCTCTGACTGCTAAGCAATGGCTGAATCAGGAGACATCACAGGGGAGGGGAGTGGATTTGTTGGGGTCCTCTAGAGGGGCCGAACTAATTAGATAGATGTTTATGTAAAGGGGAGTTTATTAGGCAGTGTTGACTCACACGATCACAAGGTAAGGCCCCCCAGTAGGCTGTCCGCAAGCTGAGGAGCAAGGAAGCCAGTCCAAGTCCCAAAACCTCAAAAGTAGGGAACTGACAGTGCAGCCTTCAGTCTGTGGTCAAAGGTCCAGGAGTGCCAGAGCTGAAGAACTTGGAGTCTGATGTTCGAGGGCAGAAAGCCCCGCACAGGAGAACAATGGAGGCCAGAAGATTCAGGCAGTCTAGTCTTTCCACGTTTTCCTGCCTGCTTTTTATTCTGGCTGCTCTGGCAGCTGGTTAGCTGGTGGCCACCCTGGCTGAGGTGGGTCTGCCTCTCCCAGTCCGCTGACTCAAATGTTCATCTCCTCTGGCAACACCCTCGCAGACACACCAGGAACAAGACTTTGCATCCTTCAGTCCAATCAAGTTGGCACTCAGTATTAACCATCACAGGGAGGAGGGGATTTTCCTGAGCGCTTGCTGTATGCAGCTGACCCTTTGTATGATCTCGCATCATCCTCAGAACACCTCTGTGAGAGGGGATTATCAGCCCCATCGTGTGGATGAGCCAGCTGAGGCTGAGAATGGTTAGGGAACTGTGCTGCTTGTGGGCAGAGGGAGTTTGGAAATAGACTTCTCTCTGATCACAAAGCACAGCATTGGTTCTGCCCCTCCAGGGGGCCCTTGTGCCCTGTCTTCTGGTGAAAGATGCTACGACATTTCTTCCTTCTGTTGGATGTCTATCTCCTTTCCAGCTGCCCTGAAAACTCAGACCTCACAACCCCAACCAAGCCCTCCTGCTCTGACTCTTCCACCCGGGCTTGTCCTGATATTCACAACGTCTTTAACAGTGGAGAACGTTAAATCCAAGCAATACGTATTTTAGCAAAAGCTTCTTTTCCAAGATGGCTGAGGTTTTGCCCTCCTGGGTTAGCAGCCTGGTTGGCAGATGTCTTAATAAAATGCACATCAGTGGGAGGGAGAGAAGGATGGGTGTGTGGGTGAGTTCTTTGCCATTTTGAGGGCAGACATGAAAGTTACTATCAGAATGGTAAGGGAGCCACTCACAAACCCAAGGCAGGCACCCCTGGTTAAAATTTCTCAGAGCTTGGCAGGCCGACGTGGGCGAATCACGAGGTCAGGAGATCGAGACCATCCTGGCTAACATGGTGAAACCTCATCTCTACTAAAAAAACAAAATTAGCCTGGCGTGGTGGCACTTGCCACCCAGCTACTCGGGAGGCTGAGGAAAGAGAATCGCTTGAACCCAGGAGGTGGATGTTGCAGTGAGCTGAGATCGCACCACTGTACTCCCACCTGGGCGACAGAGTGAGATTTCATCTCAAAAAAAAAAAAAAAATTCTCGGAGCATCCAAATGCTCTAGGCCCCACCAGCAGTCAGTTGGCCACCGCCCTGGGTCCCAGCTACAGCCAGGAGATGTGACCCCTGCCACGGAGCAGGTGGATGCCAGGGGTGGGGAGGTCTGACCTTCCATGCTTCTCTCGTTTCAGACTGTTCTGCGATGACCACAGCAAGGTACCGGCCCACCTGGGACCTGGCCCTCGACCCGCTGGTGTCTTGCAAGCTCTGTCTTGGGGAGTACCCAGTGGAGCAGATGACAACCATAGCCCAGTGCCAATGCATCTTCTGTACTCTGGTTGGTCTTTTTGGATAAAATACATGTTGCATTGATTTTAGGATGAGCTTTTTGCTTTCGTTTGCAGAGACACTAGGCAAACCTTTGGACTAAATTCTGCCTGACAGTGGAGTCTTCTTGTTGAGGCCTTCACACAGTTCTTGGAAGAATTATTCTGTTCGTCAGGCAGGCTCCCAGAGTGGAAGATTTCCATTACAGTTGCTTGTGGTGCAAAAGCAATCGGTTAAACAGAATTTTAGAAGCTCGTGATAACAATTCACAAAACTTATCATCGCGCATATTCTCCTTGCTACACAGCAAAAGCTTCCACACCTTATATCAAATGTATTTTGATAGTCACAGGTCTGAAGTTACAGCAGTGCTAACCTAGTGATTGTGTGTAGTTAGAATATGCCGTCCTCAGTGTCATCTTTCCCTAGCTTAGTGCTAAACTACAATATAGATATTTTAAAATCACATTTAATATTTATTATGATGTAGCCAACATTCTTTTGGGGCCAGATGATCCTTCGGGGCTTAATGAATGTGGGGACTTCTAAGTCAAGAATTTGGGGTGTGGGTCAAACTCAAACCCCAGATTTTATCTATTGGAAAAGATAAATGAGTGTGTGAGGTTTACTCATAGTTAATCTCATTGAATTTTGCATGTTTTTTCTGTCCATTTGAGGAATGAGAAAAGAAAATGAGGCATAGAAGCTGGAAGTAGGACGGTAGTTGCCCGGGGTCTGCAGGGAATGGGGAGACATAGGTCAAAGGGTGTGAAGTTGCAGTTATATGGGTTGAATAAGTTCTAGAGACCTAATGTACGGCATGATAATTATAGTTAATCATGCTGTTTTGCATACTTGAAATCTTCTGTGAGGATAGATCTTAAGTATTCTCACTATACACACACAAATTGGTAACTATGTGAGATGATGGATATTTAATTAGCTTGATGGTTTTACAGTGTAGTATACAAAAAATGTATATCAAAACTTCACATTGTTCACTTTTAGTATAAAATGGCAGTCTTTATCAATTATAACTGAATAAAGCTGAAAAATAAAACACAATGTTTATCATTTTAAAAAGTACAGAGAAGAAAAATGAAAAACTGTCTTCAAAAAAAGAAGTTGCTTCTGAATTTAACTGCTGTTGTATGTGGATGGTGTAGACGGCTTCCCTGTGGGTTTTTCAAATGCCTGGATTATAATCTGTCACTCGAACAGTCACTGACACGTTCATCTTTCTTGCATAGCTTTCAGACTTTATTTCATTTGTGCCTCATGATGTCCTTGGTATGTAGGCACAGCAAATATTTTTACCTTTGTTTTATAGATAAGGAGAGGGAGCTTTACAGACATTTATGTCTATGTCTTCTGTTTCTTGTTTATGCTAGATTTAGCCTTTCTTAAGGGCAGAAGAATTTCTGGCCCTTTCTCTGTCCACCTAGCACCTAGTTTAGTGCAGGACCCGGAAGAGCTGATCAGTAAAAACTCACGAATTGAAATGAAGTGTATTGATCTCAGTACTGTAGTTGCCATCCAAGAAATGTGCCTCATTAAAGCGCCAGGAAGACAGCTCCAACCTGGAGGAAAGGAAGTTGCTTTTGACATGTTTCTGAGATGGAGAAGGATAGAAGGGAGATTGATCTCCGTCCTGTTAGCACCGTGAGTGGGGCTTATCGTCATTTCTAGATGGGTTAGGACGGTAGAACCCATCAAGATGAATTCAATAATCAGCTTTACACAAAATCACCTCCTCTTGCCTGAAAGGACATCTTCCCAGCTGATCGAATGGCTCCCCCTCTGCCAAAACTGCCTGTTGGGTGGGGGTAGGGGGAGCGCGTTTGCGGTCTCTGCAGTCGCCTGCCTGCTGTCAGAGGCCACAGCTTGTGTTCTTACCCTTGAAATAGTTGCTTCTCCCTGGCCTTTTTGCTGAGGCCTTCATTTTTGTTATTGTTGTTTTAGTTTTCTATTTCTAGAGAATTGTAGTAAAAACAAATAAGCCACTCGAACTGAGACCAGAAGCCTAACTGAAGTCAGTGGATGTGAAGGAAGAAGCTGGCACTGTGTTCTCCGAAAGAGGCTGCTGGGGACACCAAAACACAGTGACGCTGCTGTGATTTTTTTTCACAACTATTTACCAAAATTTAAAATGTTGAAAATAGTTCCACCTCTGCCCGTAGCTCGCTGTAGCGTGAAGAGAAGGAAGCACCTGTGTGTTGAAGATTGAGAAGGGAGGAGGTGTCGGGGTGCCCTGATCTTTTCGGTGGTGCCTTTGCCTTTGTGTGGGCTGCAGGTCGCCTCAAGCTGGGGGCAGGGCATGGAGAGAAGCCCCGAGTCTGTGGCCAGAGGAGTTGCAACTGTCCTTTTCTGAGGGGTGCAGACATGGGAAGGAAGAAAATTAAGACTAAAAAGAGGCACTCTTAAAAAAAAAAAAACAGTTACTACAAAATTACAGTTAAGTGCTGAAGTAACTTTATCTCAAGGAGTCCAGGGCTGGAGGGAAAAGCATGGTATTTGGAGTCAGGTGTCCTGGAGCTGAAATGCCAGCTCTATTTCTGCCCTGAGCAAGCCTCGTTTACCCCATCTGTATAATGGAGGTAAAAATAGTTTACCTCGAAGTTCAAGTGGAAGAACGTGTGAAGTCATGTGGTAGGCAGTCAGCAGCCCTGGTTCTTTCTCATTTTGCTTCTAAGTTTGGGGTTAGAACTGCAGGAGTAAAAACAGAGTTTGGGCAGCTCTCCCTAAATGTCTTCTGAAGAACATTTATCTCAAGAGATGCACTCAGAAATGATTTGTGTGGTTCAGTGGGTTTGCTAACGACGGATGCCACATCCCTGACCACATCCTCCACCCCCAAGGCTTCCTGGGTGCCCAAGAGCAGGGTGAATGTACCGAGACATCTGCAGTCAAAGACGTACTGTCCGCTTTCCTGTGCTCCTTAAATGTATTTCAGCACGAAAGGGACTTGCGTAGCAATTGCTAATACGGCACTCACCTGAAGCAGGTTCTCCAGGGCTTTCCTTGCTTGCAGGGTACCTGGTGGCTTCTTTGTGATTCTCTGGCGGTCACAAGAGCCTGTGTGTGGGGCCTGTTCATACGTTCCAGGTGCTGTGCTAGGCCTTGGGAGCTTGGGGGTGATGAGCTACCAGATATCTTAAATTGTTCCATTTGGATTAGTGTGAAATCTAACTTTTGAAGGCCAAATGTAAACCTGAACATTTGTGTGCAAAATAGTGACATGTAAGTATCACCAACAAATTCCGTGCTGGAGCACTGGCCGGAGAGAAAGGATTGTGGACACGTATTTTGAAATCAGGCTGCTATTATACCACCATGAGGTCAATCCCATGTTCATTGTGTCAGTCAGAGATGCAACCTGTGTGTAGAGTGACCTGGGATGTTCCTCATGGGCTGAAATCTAAAATGTAGAAGATGTTTTAACTTAAAATGGGACATGTTAGAGTCATTGAGGGCTGACTTATACTTGTGCCTTTTGACAGTTACACTGAGAATGTGAATGTGGTGGTGTTGCTGGCAGAGTTGTTTCCATTCAGACAGCTGCTAGAACTAGAGATGATACTCTCATCCCAAAGGTGGGAACACGTGAAGCTGAAAAAGGGCAGTGCTGTGGTCCCATCCCAAGACCCAGGTCCCTAGTTATCTGGGAAGGTAGAAATGTCTACATTTCTGTTAGTTCTTAAAATAATAGTGTAGTGAAAGTTATTTTTTAACCATGACAAGGTTGAATAAGCCAAATAAAACATATATACACACACATGTATATAAATTATATAATTTTTTTTTTGCTTTGAGCTAGATTTAAATCTATTCTGATAACAGCTATTTATTGGTGATTAGGAATTTTGCTATAAAACCCGGATGATAGGATTTTGATATATAACCATGGAAAGTTGTTACTTAAAAATGTAACTTTTGGCCGGGCACAGTGGCTCACGCCTGTAAAGTCTCAGCACTTTGGGAGGCTGAGGCAGGTGAATCATCTGAGGTCAGGAGTTCGAGAACAGCCTGGCCAACATGTTGAAACCCCGTCTCTACTAAAAATGCAAAAATTAGCCAGGCATGGTGGCATGTGCCTGTAATCCTAGCTACCCGGGAGGCTGAGACAGGAGAATCACTTGAACCCGGGAGGTGGAGGTTGAAGAGACAAGATCACACCATTGCACTCCAGCCTGGGCAACAACAGTGAAACTCCATCTCATAATAAATAAATAAAATAAAAATAAATAAAAAGATAAAAATGGAACTTTTTGCCCAGCACTTTGGGAGGTTGAGGTGAGAGGATTGTTTGAGCTCAGGAGCCTGAGAGCAACATAGTGAGACCTTGTCTCTACAAAATATAAAAAAATTAGCGGGGCATGGTGGCAGACAGCTGTGGCCCCAGCTACTCAGGATGCTGAGGCAGAAAGATTGCTCAAGCCCAGGAGGTCGAGGCCGCAGTGAGCCATGATTACACCACTGCACTCCAGCCTGGGCAGCAGAGCAAGACCCTGTCTCAAAAACAAACAAACCAACAAAATGTAACATTTAGTAGACAGAGTCTTTCCCACGCAATGCATAACTATAATAAAAACGACTCTTAGTTGTTTAAATAAAAAGTTGGGACCAGATGGTTGGTTGAGTTGTGCGGTTGAACATTGCAATGGAATATAGATTCAGATCTCTGTTCTGCCTCTGCTACCTGCTAACTGTGTGATTTGCAGCAGGCTTCCTAACTTCTGTAAGCCTTGGTTTATTCATCTCGAAAATGTGATCGACCTCATGAATAAATTAAATGGAATAATGTGTATAAAGGATTGAGCAGTAGCATGCCTGGTGATAAATAATACAATATTGTTTCCTTTTTTTCCTATGTATTTGCAAGGTCATTCACCTGGTATACTGCAGAAAAGCTACATGTAAACCCTAAGCTTCTGATTAGGTAACTTATTGGGAAATAAGTGGCATTTCCTCACCTAGAAATTAAGCTGATTTGGGGGATGGTCTTCCTTT